CCTTGAGCTCACTTTGCCCAGGCTGGTCTTGAACTCACAATGATCCTCCTGCCTCAGCCTCCTGAGTGCTAGGATTATAGGCATGCGCCACCACGCCCGACCCCGATTTCTTCTTCACATGAAAAGATCTTTCCCACCAGAAAAGGAGAGATGGGAAGGAGCCGACCTGTGACAAACATGGTATACTGAGGAGGCAAATTAAAGGACATGCTAGGTCTGAGAAGGAAGGAAAGGAAGAGAAACTAATTAAACGCTTGCTGGACACTGTGTAGCTCCTTTGCCACAGTGAAGACATTTAATCAGCCTGAAGATCTGAGAGGCGAGCTTTAGTAACCCCATTTTATAGGCTGACAAACAGGCTTAGGTAGGACCAGTGCTGAGCTAGCCACGAGACAGGCTGAGCCATTTGCAATCAATATGAACAAGTTTTGAAACGCACTTACTTTGGCATAATAAGGCCAAAGTTATTATCAGACAGATGGAATAAGAGCACACTCTATCTGGTCCCTGGTCCCTTCCTCCAGGGCGCTTTCTTTACACTCTGCTTCCTGGCAGCATGTGGTGGGCAGCTTTCCCCCGCCACACCCCCTGCCGTGATGATTCTTTCTCGGAGCCAGCTGACCATGGACTAATGCATCTGAAATCGTGAGCCCAAGTAAACTTCTCCGCCTTTAAGTAGTGGGTGTCAGCAGTGGGAAGCCGGCCAGTTTTCTTAGTTACTTTCCTTGTTGCTGAGACAAAAGATGGGACACCCACAAGTTAAAGAAAGAGAGGTTTATTTTGGCTTATGGTTTGTAGAGATTTCAGTCGGTAGTTGGCTGACTCCAAGGCAGGGTGGCATGGCAGAGGGGCATGGTGGAGGAGAGGTACGCACAATGTGGTATCCAGGGAGCAGAGCAGGGAGGGAGATAAACCCTTCCGGGCCACACCCCCAGTGACCAGCCTCTTCTGCTGGTCCTACCCCGCAACAACCCCCGCATCATCCAACTGCATTCCCCAAGCCCTGCAGGCCTTGGGGGGACATCTACATAAAAACCACAGCACCAATATAACTGGCTATTAGCAGCCAGCGTTTGTGCCTTTGCCAACAGTCTCCTGAAGGAACCCTCATCCTCTCAAGGCCTCCCCTCCATTCCTCTCAGCATCTCTGATGAGCTCCCAACATGGAGGAGCTCCCCCTCCATCTCCACTGCTAGCCCTCTCAGAGGTAAAAATGGTTGGATTGAGTCCACCAAACTTGGGAGGTTTGTTTGGAGTGGTCTAACTTGAAATATAAGTGCCAGGGCAGCCCTAAAGTTAGCTTTGGATGGCACTAAGGAGAGTAGCCCGAAGAAAGAGGGGCTGCTGAGAAAGAAATGCCCTACTGACCGTGACAGCCTGAACCCCACAAGTGATCTGCGCAGTTTCCAAAAGAGAGGCCCAAATCAGGAGTCACAAGCCTGGGTCTTCCAGGTGACGGGATTTCCTGACAGAGAGAGTTCTGTGCAAAGATTGCCTAGTCAAGAATCCAGATTCCTAGCCAGGCATGATGGCGCACACCTGTAATCCCAGTACTTGGGAGGCTGAGGCAGGAGGATCGTTGTGAGTTCGAGATCAGCCTGAGCTCAAGGCCAGCCTGAACTGCATAGCTATACCCTGTCTCAAAAAGACAAAAAAAAAAAAGAATCCAGATTCTCATGACCAATGCTTGGGAAGCCAGCTATGTGAAGATAATAACAGAAATTTGGCTCTAACAATGTTTTAAAGTAACTGTTTATGATCCCACAAAGAGCCAGGTGTGTAACAACCCCAGCACTCAGGAAGCTAAGGTAGCAGGATCGAAAGTTTGAGGGTAGCCGGGACTACATGGTGAGACCCTGCTTCAAAAAAAAAAAAAAAAATCCAAAATCCAACTGAAGTACCCGATACCAGTGCACAATACCTTAAATAGGTATTGAACATTTTCTTCAAACTTGCGTTTATTCTCTTTTAAGAGACCTCGTAGTAAGAAAGCACAGTTTGCCTCCATTTTTTTTTTTTTTTTTTAATTGGTTTTTCTCCGGTACCAGGAACTGAACTCACGACCTTGCGCTTGCCAGGCAGGCGCTTTTGCTGCTGAGCTAAATCCCCAGCCCCCCCTTTTTTTTTTTTTTTTTTTTTCTGGTACCGGGGATTGAACGCACGACCTTGCGCTTGCCAGGCAGGCACTGTGCCGCTGAGCTAAATCCCCAGCCCCCTTACCTCCATCTTGATCTAGCAATTCTTGAAATTTTTGTGCAGGGCTCTGAAAACAGTTACTGAAAGGACTGGATGTATCATTTTGTTTGATACATTGTAAGGAAAGCATGGTTTCTAAAACAAAGTAGCTCTAGTCTAGACTATGAAAAATACTTCTTTTTTTTTTTTAAATTGAGATGGGCGTCTCCCTGTGTTACCTTGGCTGACCTGGAACTACTTGGCTTAAGCAATTCTCCTGCCTCAGCCTCCCAGTAGCTAGGATTTCTGGGGTGTGCTGTCTCACCTCATATGGAAAATACTTCTTAAGCCAGAAAATCAATAGGCAGATATTTTTCTTCTTGTTTTATAATAAGTTACCAAAGAAGGATTTTTTTTTGGTAAATAATGAAAAATGTTAACATATAAATATACTATCTTTTATATATTATGTGTAAGTCTTTATTGTGTAATATGTATATTTTTTTCTTTTAATTTTAATTTTTTTTTGATAGAACCCAGGGTTTCATGCATGTTTGGCAAACACTGCCACTGACCAGTATTCTCAGTTCTATTGTATTGTTTTCTTTTGTTTTTTTTGAGACAAGGTCTCTCTGTGTAGCCCAGGCTGGCCTTGAACTCATAGGCATCCTCCTGCCTCAGCCTCCCAAGTGCTGGGATTGATTACAGGCATGTGCCACCATACCCAGTTCTATCTGTGTTATTATATAACA